ACTTTGAGCATGCTTTCATATGTCTCTTGGCCTTCTGTATGTCTTCTTTCGAAAAGTGTCTATTTAGGTCCTTTGCCATTTTTTTTTAATTATTAAATCTTTATTGTTCAGATTATTACATTTGTTCCTCTTTTTTTCCCCCCATAGCTCCCCTCCACCCAGTTCCCACCTCACCCTCTGCCCTTACCCCCCCACTGTCCTCATCCATAGGTGCACAATTTTTGTCCAGTCTCTTCCCGAATCTCCCACACCCCTTTCCCCCCCAAGAATAGTCAGTCCATTCCCTTTCTATGTCCCTGATTCTGTTATAATCACCAGTTCATTCTGTTCATCAGATTATTTATTCACTTGATTCTTAGATTCACTTGTTGATAGATGCATATTTGTTGTTCATAATTAGTATCTTTACCTTTTTCTTCCTCTTCCTCTTCTTAAAGGATACCTTTCAGCATTTCATATAATACTGGTTTGATGGTGATGAACTCCTTTAGCTTTTCCTTATCTGTGAAGCTCTTTATCTGACCTTCAATTCTGAATGATACCTTTGCTGGATAAAGTAATCTTGGTTGTAGGTTCTTGGCATTCATCACTTTGAATATTTCTTGCCACTCCCTTCTGGCCTGCAAAGTTTCTGTTGAGAAATCAGCTGACAGTCGTATGGGTATTCCCTTGTAGGTAACTGAGTTTCTTTCTCTTGCTGCTTTTAAGATTCTCTCTTTGTCTTTTGCTGTTGGCATTTTAATTATGATGTGTCTTTGGATTCCTTTTGTTTGGGGTTCTCTGCGCTTCCTGGACTTGTAAGTCTATTTCTTTCACCAGGTAGGGGAAGTTTTCTGTCATTATTTCTTCAAATAGGTTTTCAATATCTTGGTCTCTCTCATCTTCTGGCACCCCTATAATTCTGATGTTGGTACGCTTGAAACTGTCCCAGAGGCTCCTTACACTATCTTCGTATTTTTGGATTCTTTTTTCATTTTGCTTTTCTGGTTGGGTGTTTTTTGCTTCCTCGCATTTCAGATCTTTGCCTTGATTCTTGCGCTCCTCTGGTCTGCTGTTGGGAGTCTCTATAATATTCGTTACTTCAGTCAGTGTATGCTTAATTTCTAGTTGGTTCTTTATCATAACATCGAGGGTCTCATTAGATTTCTTGTAGATCTCAATAACTTTATTGGCGGCTTCTAGACAGTTCTTGAGAGACCTTAAAAGTGTGGTTCTGAACTCAATATCCTCCATTGACAGTTTTGTCCTGTTTCTTTGTCTCCGCATTTTTTATGCTTTCTTGGTGCACCCCCTAGTGGTCTTTGTGCGCAGTCTTGTTGTAGTTAAGCCTTGATTGTTGTAGCTAATACTGGGGGGATTTGACCTCCAGGCCAACTGGCTGTGAGAATCAGCTGTGTCTGCAGTGGGAAAACTTCTGCAGAGGGCTTGGGCGGGGCGGGTCGCACGGGATCAACAGAGAGGGTGGAGGGAGCAGTTATGGCTGCTCTCAGTCCTGTCCCCAGAGGCTCTGCCTCTCAGAGTCCCAGCAACCGCTGAAACCTCGGAGAGAAAGCTGCCCTCGCATTCCGACCGATGCCAGACAGTCCCGCTTCTCCCGTTTGAGTCTGGGTCCCTAGAGACTCGCCCAGAACTGGAGCTCAGAATCTGAGCCCCCCTCCCGATTGAAAACGACAACCGCACCCTCAGCTACCAGCCCGCTGCGCGCACCTCCCCACCTTTGTATTTTCCGCACTGCGCCTCCTCTGAGTCTCGTATGCTGTTCTCTTTCCTTCTAGTTGAAGAATTTCCCCTCAGCCAGTCTTCCTGTGGTTCTGGGCGATGTCCGTTCCGTCTTTTAGTTGTATTTTTGAAGTGGTTGTTCAAGGCAGCTAACTGGTGTTTACCTATGCCGCCATCTTGGTTTTTTCCAAAAAAACTTTACTGCCAGTTTTGAAGCTTTTCTCTCAAGCTTCTTTCTTTTTCTGTTTGTGTAAACCTGAATCTTCCTCTGCCTCTTCCCACCCTTCCTTCCCTCTTCTTTCCTCCTGCAGTCCATGCAGTCCATTGCTTGGCTCTCCCATGGCCCCTTTCCTCTTTAATCCTCATTGCTTCCATCATCAAAACCTCTATCACATTTAAAAAATAAAGTGTTCCTGAACCTAAAGGTATCTAAGTGCCTGCTGTGCTGTGGGCACTTGGATACATGGACCTGTGTTGGAGGAGGTGGGGCCAGATCTCCAGCCTACCCCTTCCTTTCTCCCAGCATCAGACTCTTCTGTCACTTGGGGTCTTCACTTTGAACTCATTACTCTTCTTAACCCCCTTTCCCTCAACTGCCTGTGTGATACTGATTCCTTGGTTGGCATTCAAGGCCTTCTGTGACCTTGCTCATTGACCTGTCTCTCAGTCATGTCCTGTTGCTCCCTTTTGTGCATACTCCACGTGCCAGCCAAACTGGTACATACCCATTATTTCCTACTTCTTCTTCTGTCATCACATGGCTTCCTGCCAGAATGTCCTCCCCTTCACTTTTCCCCTGTCCGAATCTTGTCCTTATTTGTGATTCAGCTCAAGTGCCCTCCTCCAGGGATCTTCCTCCGCTCTTATTTGGTAAACAGTGAGTGCTGTGGTGCGTCCACCGCTGCAGGGCAGATGCTGTACTGTCCCTGCTCTCCATAGTGTCCCCTAATCTCATTGTCTCTAACAGCACATAACCTTTTTCTTCCCTGCATCCCATGTCCTCTCTTTGCAGACAAGTTGTGTCTAGGTCAAATTCTTTACAGCCACCTTTCTGCCTAGCACAAGGATTCAGCTCGCAGTAGACTCCGAAGGGGTGCTGGATGCATAATTGAACAAAGTTTCAAGGCTTTGTCTCATTTAATCCTCACAACAGCCCTTTGACGTAGATGCTAATATTATCCATATCTTCCAGAGGAGAAAAACGAGGCTCAAAGACTGAGCAGTTTGCCCAGGGTCACACAACTAGTAAACCACAGAGCTGGGATTTGTGTGCCCAGGACTTTTCTGCCTTTTAACCATTGCTATGTGACCTCAATGAATGGGGTAGGTACAACTCCAGATAGGATGTATAAAGCCCATCAGAGGATATAGACTTCTGAAGATGCCACCAATTCAGAAAGAACTCTTTATTTTTTAAATTACTGTGCCCAGTGGGTTTCACTGTACCCTTTACCAGGAATAGCTCACAGCTGGGGTTTCATCCAGATTGGGGAAGATTCGGGGGCTGCGTGGAGGTGCGCAAAGGGTGGGAAATGGGTACATCTGTAATAGTGTCAGCAATAAAAATAAGTTAAAAACAAAAATTGGGGAGGGGGGAAATGGGGAGAAGCAGCCAGAGAGATAAATTGATCTTTCCAGATTCTCTCGTAGCAGTGACTTCCCAGGAGCTGGCATTTCAAGGTCCCTCCTCCTGGTAGATGAGACTCTGGGTGTTGGAGAAAGACAGCAAAATTGCCTTTCTGTCTCTGCACTTCTTTAACCTCTTCCCCTACCCCCTAAGTACTTAAGGGGTAAATACTGTTAGGTACTGTCCTGAGTCCTCTCGGGCCAGAGATTGAATCAGTCCTGTCCAAATGAGACCTGTAAATACTTTAAAGTTCAAAACAAAGAGTTAACATGATTCAAAAAGACATTTTTACTGTTGAGGTTGGGAGGAGAGAGAAGCCCTCACAGCCGCAGACTGTAAAAGGCTCCAAGCCTTGGCTTCGGGGGACAGTTTTCTTAGCTTACACCCCCACTTATGACTCCATTTGCAGGGACTTGTTTCTAAGCCTGGATGTTTTACATCCCCATGGCCCTGCCAGGAATTAGCTGAGGGCCACAGTTTAAACCTGAAAAGGGTATGATTAGAGGCTTTGTGTCTGGAGCAGTCTGTCTTTAGCAAGGAAAGCTGGGAGCTGGCGGATGCCTCCCTGTGTTGAACTGTCTGAATAGCTCAAACTCTGGACTAGTAAAGTGATTCAACAGACATTTAAAGAGACCTTTTGTGCCTTGCATTTCATGTAACATAATAATTTAGTTCTCACTACAAACCTATTTTGCAGCTAAGGATACAGACAGTGGAAACAGCTGTAATTTTCCCAAAGATACCTGACTGAGGCATCTCTTAACTGTAGTCTAATGGGGAGAAAAAGGGACTGGTTAAGCTTCAGGACAGAATCCTTAGGATATATTTCCATATTCCTGTTCTTGTGATGTATACTGTGGACAGATAGATAATCAACATAATCAAGAACCAGAGACCACCTATTAAAAGGGGAGACTGGTGCTGTGGGAGCCATTTGGTTGGATCCTGGCTAGTGGAGGGAGTAGAATATTATGAAGATTTGGTATCAGTGTTAGAGGCACAAGTGGGAGGATCTGCTTGCCTGGTATGGTCATTTCCAAGCTCTGAGTTGGTGGTGGATGGGGTGGGCCTGTCTCAGTTGTAACAAAAACTCAGAGCTTATGATCCAAAATCAGACAATACTCAAAATCACAGACTTAGAGAATGCTACACCCAGAAGGGGCTCAGAGAATCTAAGGTTTTGTTTACTTTTACAGACAGGAAACTGAAGCCAGTGTGGAAGCAACAGGCCTAAAGAGAATGGTGTGTTAGCCACAGAATCTAGACAGGTTGCTGGTCTGAGCTGAGCCTATAGGACGGGAAGGGGGTTTAGTAAAAGAAGAGAAGTTGAATGGAACAGGATCATAGGAGGTCAGGGCAGTGGATTAACGTATGTTTCTGAGAAATTAGCCAGTGTGGAGGGGAGTGGCTAGGAAGCAGTTGGGAGGGTTAGCTAGGCCAAGTCCAGATTTGTAGGATACAGTGACAACAGTGTCTTTGGAGATGGAGGGGAGTCCACAGTGAGGGGAAAATCAATACTGCAGAAGGAGAAGAAAGGATGTCATAGCATGGGGATCCTTTACCAGCTATGAGATAGGGTCCAGAGCCCGCACAAGGAGCTGCAGATGGTGGTGGTACGAGCTGACAGCTTGCCCTTCCTCACCCGACCCTGCAGGTGATTGCCGTGGTGATGGATGTATTCACAGACATCGACATCTTCAGAGATCTGCAGGAAATATGTCGGAAACAGGGAGTTGCTGTATACATCCTTCTGGACCAGGCTCTGCTCTCTCAGTTTTTGGATATGTGTATGGATCTGAAAGTTCATCCTGAACAAGAAAAGGTTTGTGTTACACTGTGTCTGATTTAACCACAATCAAAAATAGGACCTAGCTACATAGCAGTCGGCAGTGGTATCCCCATTATAAGAGAGGGAACTGAGGCCATGAACAAGGTGATTGATTTGCCTGAAGTCTCACAGAAAAGAAACGACAGTCAGGATTCAAGTCATTGTCCCTCCCTCACATCATGCTGCCTCCTAACTAGGAGCCTGACTGTTCACGTCAAGAGGCTGCCTTGGATGCTGCTGCTTTTGACTGTAGTGTTGGTAGGTTCTCTTTTTAATCATAATGACCACATTTATGGTGTCCTGGGCACTGGCCTGGGCTCTTGACAAATGTTAGTCAATTTAATCCTCACAAAAGCCTTATCGAGTAAGTGGCAGGAAGGGGTGACACAGAGAAACCAGTGTCTACAACTGGAAAGTTAGTGGGACTGAGGTTTGACTCCCCATCTACCATCACTGTCCCGTGGTGTCTCTCATGTCTCATTATAAAATTAGGCCTTTTATGGCCTTTGTTCTGAGCAGACTGTATTTAAATCTAAGGTTAGCCCTGGCTGGTTTGGGTCAGTGGATAGAGAGTCGGCCTGCAGACTGAAGGGTCCCGGGTTTGATTCCTGTCAAGGGCACATGCCTGGGTTGCAGGCTCGATCCCCAATAAGGGGCGTGCAGGATGCAGCCCATCCATGATTCTCTCTCATCACTGATATTTCTCTCTCTTTGTCTCCTTCTCCCTTTCTCTCTGAAATCAATAAAAATATATTTTAAAAAAATCTAAGGTTGGCCCTGGCTGGTTTGGCTCAGTGGATAGAGTGTCAGCCTGCAGACTGAAGGGTCCCGGATTCGATTCCGGTCAAGGGCACATGCCTGGGTTGCGGGCTCAATCCCCGATGGGGGGCGTGCAGGAGGCAGCCAGTCGATGATTCTCTCTCATCATTGATGTTTCTATCTCTCTCTCTCCCTCTCCCTTCCTCTCTGAAATCAATAAAAATAAAAATAAATAAAAAATAAAAATCTAAGGTGGTACAACTTAACTAGCTTGCTCTCTTTAGTGGAAAGAGGCAAGAAAAATAGTCATACTTATTACACCAATCTTTTTTTTTTTTTAAATCAACTTGTGAGCTTCAGAATTTAATTTATCACCTTAGTTCATTGCCTATGAGCACCTACTATGAGCTATTCTAGGTACTGGAAATAAAACAGTCAGCAGAATGAACAAAAAGTATGGGTAATTGCATGTGGACATACAGTTGCTGCCTTGTTGTTTTTTTTTAAAGTATTGAATCTTTTTTTAAAAAAATATATTTTATTGATTTTTTTACAGAGAGGAAGGGAGAAGGATAGAGAGTTAGAAACATCGATCAGTTGCCTCCTGCACACCGCCCACTGGGGATGTGCCTGCAACCAAGGTACATGCCCTTGACCGGAATTGAACCCAGGACCTTTTATCCTCTCTATCCACTGAGCCAAACCGGTCAGGGCTGCTGCCTTGTTCTTATCAAGCAATTTGGTTTTGCAAAATTTTAGCTATTTAACCTCTCCCAAAGAGTTCTTGTTGGTTGTTTTCCCTAATGAGGAAACCAAGGATTGGGTTTAATTAGATAATTTTCAACTTGTTGCTAATGCTACAAAGCAAATCACGGTGGAGGTAGGATTGTAGTGTGGAGACCCAAAGAAATGAACCAGCCATGTGACCCAACAATCAAATGAAAAATGAGATCAGGTCAACCCAAGGAATATGCAAATCAGGCATGGAAAAGTACATTGTCCTGTAGCCAAATGTTCATCTATGACTGCTCACAGAGAACCATGTGAGGACATTGAAGGCATCAGTGTTTAATTTTAAGGCACTCGTTCTGTAATTAAGGTGGTATGTTATCAGCAGGAAAATCACAGATTAGTTCTAGCCACCACTTTGGTCAAGTGATTGTCTGTGATTCATCTACTTGGCAGAAATCTAGGAGTACTGTATGCCTACTCAGTTGCCCAGTGCTGGTTGGTGTCTTTATGGTTGTCTTTTATGTCGGCAGGAGGAGTTGAAAGGAGATCTGTACCTCTGGCCTCACCAATTTTCATCATGTCTTAACTCCTTCCTACTTTCCTAGGGAAGCACCATCTTTGCTGGCTGCTTCTCACACCCGGTGTGTCTATGCTGGTGAACATGTGCCCTCACCAAGTTAGGGCTGCCTTCCTTCCTCCCCTAGGTCCTGGCTCTGCAGCTGGTTCAGATGTTGGGTGTCCTGTCTGTAGGAATTTGGTCACACATTTGTGTATAGGCCTCAAAAGTGCTTTGGCCACAATCACAGAGGCCTGTAAAACATTCTGATATAAGGGCCAAAGAGACAAGATGCACAAAATCAGGCCTAAATCTGCCTATAGTGATATTTTTTATGCTTTTTATTATATGTTGATCCTTTGAAGCTCTGCTTAGGAATCATTACCTTCTCCAGGAAGCCCTCCCCTGCCAGCTCCATATGTACCTTTGTGGAAGTTACTAGCTTTTTAAAAAAATTAATTTCCATTTTAAAACAATTTATGATTTACAGAGGAGTTACAAAAACAATATAAGAAATTCATGAGTATTTGTAGCCCAAGTTCTCTAAATGTTAACATCTTACAAATCTCAGTACAAATTTGAAAAATCAAGAAATAAACGATATAATACTATAGGGTGTCCCAAAATTCACGCAAGAAGTAATTTTGATAGAAAACAGGTTTATAATTAAAAATTGTAAATTTTTTATTGATTCATAAAGTATACAATATAGGGTTATGTATGGAATAGCACATCGGGTAAATGGCCTCCACGGCTTTGCTGGCACATACGCAAAGCTGTGGTCTTCAGTGGTCTTCATTGGTCTTCATTGTCCCTGTTCCTGGGCCATAATTGGTACTTGGTAATGCTTATCAAATTGAAGGGATTGAAATCAAAGGGCAACAGATATTAGAATCTGATTCAATAAGCCAAGTAAAATTAGGCTTTTATTTGTTGTTGTTGTTGTTGTTAATGCTCTCGCAAAATTCAAATCTTGCGTGAATTTTGGGACACCCTATATTATCTGAGCTAAAGATCTCATAAAATTCACTAATCATTCCATGGAAGTCCTTTTTCTTGTCTAGGATTCAATCCAGGATCATAGCTGGCATATAGTTGTCATGTCTCCTTTGCTTCCTCTCATCCTGAACTGTTCCTCCTTCTCTGTCTTTTGGGGTCTTGATACTTTTGAAGAACATTAGCCAGTTTTCTGTAGAATTTAGATTTCTGATGCTTCCTCATGGTTAAATTCAGATCATGCATTTTGGTAAGAATACCATTGAAATGATGTTATGTGTTGCCATAGTTTTCTTTGGTTTGCCTTTTGTTTTTATTTTTGAAGTGATAGATTCCTAGGAATTGTAGAAGTTTCCATGGATCCTTCACCCAGTTTCCCCCAATGGTTATGTAACTTATAGTACAATAGCAAAAGATGGAAATGGACATAGGTACAGTGTGTGTCTGTAGTTCTGTGCCATTTTGTCACGTGTACATATGAGCACCACTACCACCAAGATATAGAGCTGTTCTGTACCATTGAGATCTCCCTCATGCTACACCTTTATAGTCACATCCACTCCCCTCGCTATCCTCCTCCTACCATGTTTAACCCTGGAAGTCACTACTAGTTCCCCATCTCTATAATTTTATCATTTAGGGAATGTTACATAAATGGAACCATGTAGTATCTGATCTTTTGATATTGAATATTTTCCCCTCAGCATAAAGTCCTTGAGATCCATCCAAATTGTTGTGTGTATCCAGTAGTTTGTTCCTTTTAATTGCTGAGTAGTATCATGGTATGGTTGTTTAACTTTTCACCCATTGAAAAGCATTAGAATAATTTCCAGTCTTTTATTGTTATGAATGGATACTATGAATATTTGTGTACAAGTTTTTGTGTAGACATAGATTTTCACTTCTCTGGATGATTTAGTCTTGTTATAATTTTTTAATCATTCATTACTTTTCTCTTATCTAGTCCTTGCAGGTCAGGAGTGTACCTTATCACAAGAAGCATGCCTTATATCTCTTTTATCTCAAGGCCTGGTACATAGGGGCTTTCTTTGTTTATAGAGTAAATGAGAGAATCAAACAAAAATCTTAAACATTTAATTTGAATGTGTAAGATTTCTAAAAATATTTAGTTACTGATCTGCCCCAAAGAATGCAGGTTGTCTTAGTAGTTTATATACCATTGTATATACATTTACGTGTGTCATTTTACAAAGATAATTATTCATATACATGCAGTATATAATCCCAGAGTGATTCCATTGTACTTTTCTGGTAAATACATACTTGTAGGAAATATGACATTGCTGATTAAGCCACATGTGATATGAAAGTTTGCTGCCTCAAGTCCTGTATTAGAAAAGGCTTATTGTATGTTCTCTAGACCCATTGTTGTGTGTGGGTGAGGATGGGTTGTTTACTGGTGATTCTATTAGACAAAAGTAGGAGAAATATCAACTTAGCTTCTTTAAACCTTTGTTAAGATGTTACTTATTACTAGTGTGTTTCCTTTGATAATTTAATCCCCCATGTTTTATTTAAAAAGTCATTTCCTAGATTCTATTGTTTAGTATCATCAAAAAGTGAGTCTTCTTTTAGAGTACATGTACACATGAACTAAGGGTCTCAAAAATAAAGATAAGAAATGGGCATATGAGAAGCTGGACTAAATGTGAAGCATTAGTTGAGCTCCTGAATGGGGACTGTGAACCATTCATTGGCCAATAAATTTGTCTGTTTGGGAATTGTAAACTAAGCCCTCTTGTCTTAATCATTTGTTCACTAGATTATTCATTTCTTTTTTCCACACTCTCCTGCCAACAGCTGATGACAGTTCGGACTATTACAGGAAATATCTACTATGCAAGATCAGGAACTAAAATTGTTGGGAAGGTTCATGAAAAGTTCACATTGATTGATGGCATTCGAGTGGCTACAGGCTCCTACAGGTAAGTTTCCCACCTGCCCATGCTTATTAATCTAAATTTTTTAGGAGGAGCATGCTATGTAAAGGCAGAAGCTTCCCCACCCTCCCATCCCCCAACACCAGGCTTTATGGCCAGGCATTCTGAGATGAGTGCATCTGTATGTGAGTAGGTTAATCAATACCTCCTCCTACAGAAGGTAGTTGAGGTTGGGGTCACCTCCCCTGCCCTGTGGTCTACAGAACTGAAGTGCAGAGGTTGAAATTTGTCTGGAGACCCCATGGCGAGCAAATCTTAGATTCAAGCCGCAGCTAGGCCCACAGTGGATGAATTAGGAATAACAGTGACAGTACCAGTCTCAAGTCTGGTTCCTGGGTACTTTGAACACCTTGTCCCTGCTCACTTGGTGGTAAGGGCAATCTCAGCCATGGGCATCAGAGTAGAGGGCAAAGCTGACGCTGTCAGCTTACACGTAACTCCTTCACCTTGCTTCAAGGCTTGTAATCTTGTGCTTTAGAAAGTACTGATCCATGTTCTGCCTCCACCTTTGAAGTCTCACATTGGCAACGGCATCTTAAGGAGAGTGCAGAGAAGTTGAATAGAGGGTGGAGGTAATGAGTGGTTAACACTAATCTCCAGAAGTTAAGACATGCCGTTTTTTCTCCTACGGCTTCGATGTTTGGCCAGCTCTACATTTGATCGTCTGATGGGGTGCATGAGGTGTGTCTGTAGAGTTTAAAAATGAAAAGCTCATTTTTTAAGAAACACATTCCTGAGTGATAATTATGTGTCAGCCCTGAGTAAAGGTGGAAAGATTTGTGGACGATGAAGGTGGTAAGATGAAGAAAGCCTTGATGCCTTACTTCTCAAACAGTTCCTTCAATGCTGGGGGAAAAGTCACACTCTTCCTGAAACTTCCTTTCATAAGAAATTTTTAAATAACTGGAGGAATCTAGATTTTTCACCCAAAGTAGGTTTGATCTGTATTAGCCAAACTTAGCTCAACTGGTTTTTGGCTATTCTAAAATATAAAAACTACCCACTACAGATGCAGTATACTACCATTGAGGATAAAGATGATGATAGCTTTCATTTGTTACAGACATTTTTATAATCCTGGGATAGATAGGTGATCTCATTGAGGGTTTTCAAAAGACTCTTCTCTCTCAGTGGGGTGATTGCAAGTGCAGAAAGCTAACTCAAACTAAGCAGATGGAATTTTTTGACTCCTGTGACTTAGAAATGTCGAAAGATTTTCAGCTCTTTTTGACCTAGAAGCCATCCCTTTATCTGAACACTGTCTTCTGGTTCTTCTTTTCTCCAGTTGGTCTTTAGTCTCAGTCAGCTCTCCATTTGAAGGCATAGATCTAGGCTTTCTCATGTGGCCTTTCATAGCTGTCTCCCAAAGAGAGAGACTTTATTTCTTCAGCACTGCTTTTAATCCTTGAAAAATTACTTGGCCTGAGGTGGGTCACATGTCCACCCTGGGTAGCTCCCCGTATCCAAGGGGATAGGATAGTCTGGCCATCCTGGTAATATGCTCTTGTAATTGGAGAGGCGCATAAATGAAGACCTTCTTGGCGAGGATAGAGGTGGGTTCGTCACCAGAGGAAGGAGGAGGAATGCTGGACAGTCAGGGGCACATGGCCTGCTCCGCTCTGAATGTGCTTCCAGCAATAGCGTCACGGTTAGAATAACAGCACTGCGCTGGCCATACTTAAGGACTGGGCCTGGTCTGGGGTCCACCACAGTTTCCTTCTATGAAACCACTAGCCGTTTCCTCACTTCGAAAATGAGGGCACTGACCAAATACTTTAGAAATCCTTTCTAGTTTTTAAAAACTGAGGTTGAGGGTGTGTAGGTTGTAGTGTGTTGGTTAAACAGTTGGTTTTTTAACATTTATGTTAACCCATATATGTCATATGCCTGTGTTAAGGCTGAATTTACACTACATGATAGGTATGCTGTCAGAGTTATGAATCTTACGTAGCAGGATATCTGGGCTTTATTACTCAGATTGACATAAGAAAAGACTAAAGTTGCTTATTCTTACCAGTGTCTGTTTGTTTTTAATCCTCAAGTTTTACATGGACAGATGGCAAATTAAATAGCAGTAATTTGGTCATTCTGTCCGGCCAAGTGGTTGAACACTTTGATCTGGAGTTCCGAATCCTGTATGCACAGTCGAAGCCCATCAGCTCCAAACTCCTGTCCAGCTTCCAGATCAGCGGCAAGTTTGACCATCTAGTTGACCGGAAACCATCGTCCAAGGAGCTCACGTTGGGCAATCTGCTGCGGCAGCGGCTGGCCAGGCTCTCAAGCACCCCCAAGAAGGCCGAGCTGCTGTGTGGGGCACCCACCAAGGCCAGGGCAGAGGCCAGGCGCCACGACTCTGAGTCTTCCACCATCAGTGAGGAAGACTACTTTAACAGCCACAAGGAAGAACCAGAAGGTGGAAAGGTGACTGATGCCGCCACTCAGACAGAGCCAGGAGAGGAGGTGCCAGTGGTGCGCGTGAGTGACTCGGGAACACAAACCAGCACCGCCATAACTAGTGCTGGCACCCAAACCACAGTTGCCACCAGGGCAGCGAGCTCGCAAACCATGGTTCGGTTCATGTCGGCCACCACCCAGACTGATGTGGACGAGAATGTTGTCTTTTCTCAGGGAACCCAGTCTAAAGAAGGGTCGCCTGTATCAAAGATGTCTGTCTCAAGATCTTCCAGTTTGAAATCGTACTCCTCGCTGTCTTCCCAAGGCTCTGTGGCAAGCTCCATCGGCTCCCAGACTTCCATCAGAACCACTGACCTCATCCTTTCTGGACATTCCAAGTACTGGGGCACCCCCCACTTTGACTCATTTAGAAACTTGAATAAAGAGCGGCAGTTTCACTTTTCTGCCATCAGGTCCCGGCTCCACCATATGCTGGCCATGTTGTCAAGGAGAACAGTTCTTACTGAGAACTATATTGGCTTTAATTCTGGAAATTTTACCAGAGCACCAGTTAATTTACTGGCTATTCGAGATATTACACTCTCTCCCTCCTATCAGTGACCGCTCAGTGTTCAGAGCCCCCTGGGTTCCTCCAGGCTTGCAATAGACATCACCAGAGCATCCTGCTCTGCAAAATGTCTCCTGTCCCTAATTGTTTTTCTTTTGCCTGACTTTTAGTCACCCTGATTTTCTTTGAATTCTATAAACTGCACATTATTTTACATGCTTTAATTTTGTTTTTGTCATGTATAAACTGGCTATTGGTTTTATGGTTTAAACACTATGGGTACAGTTTCTTTGCACATTTTTAACATTGATATCTCTTAAAGAGGTAAATTCTGGTAAGAGATAAAATATGTTTTGCATTTTCCTAGATTTGTGTGTTTTTCTGTTTAAGAGCTTTGAATCACTAGTTTTTATGGTCAAAATCCTGTTTAGAATAAATGGTTTCTTAATTGTCTCTTCTTTAGGATATCTGTGTTCTTAGTATTAACTAAATATAAACAACTTTTATTTGGTGATTGCTTGAGTACCTTTTTTTCCCTTTTTTTTCTTTCAGGCATTTTTCTCTTTAACTCTGGCAGTATGTCACAAGTAATGTACCTAAAGCTATTTTTGTGTGGAGAAAAGTACATGATCCAAATTGTAAAGGAAAATATTCACTTAAAAGATAGAAGACATAAAACAGCAAGCATCAGGGTCACCCCTTCCTTAGCGTTATGAATATTGACGTTACTCTCTCTATAGTGTGAATGAGGACACTTGCCAGAAATCGCAGGTCTTCTCATGTGCCTTTAGCTGTCTCTTTTCAAAGAAAAATCTTGAGCTATTTAGACAGTGACCTTGGTTCTCTGCTTCTCTGCTAAAGAAGGCCTTCGTTGCATTCCTGGATTCATCCCTGATATTAACTCTAGTGGCCCCATGGGCTTAATTTCATCAGATGGGTGTATTGACAATGATTTAGCAATCTAATATCCTGGAGTAGGGGCAGAGAAGACAACTGATAATTATCCCAGATTCCTAGTTCATTGGCAGGTAATGCAACTGGTTTCTACACCCTGCTAATCAGGGTTAGTCTGATTGTGGAATCCTGTTTTTGTCTAGTCTCATTTGCATGAACAGACTAAAGGAAGAGAGTTAAATAATGGCTTCCTTTGTCTGATCTGGCCAGAGCAAAAGAGGTCTTAATAGGAGAGGGTGTTGTCCTCCATGTAGACATTTGCTGATGCACCCAGGTCATGAGTACACCTGCAGTGTTTTATTTGTTTGGTTGGTTGGTTTTACTGGAAACATTTATTATGACAAGAAGTGAGAGCTACACAGCAGTGGGTTTGCCCAAGGTTAGAACTGTGGCAGGAGGTCCCCGGGCAAGGGCCTCCCTGCCCCCCACTGCTCATCTCTTGCCTGGAGGAGACCTTTGGCACTTGGCTGGCGGGGACAGAGGCAGATGAAAGGCTATCAGATCCACACTGTCAGAAGGGTCTAGAAATGAAGTGGGGAGGGCAAGTTATTAAAGTCCTCACCCCTTCCCGTTCCCGTTCCCGTTCTCGTTCCCGCTCCTGCCCCTGCTCCTGCTCCTGCTCCTGCGTGGTCTTGGGCTGCGTTGTGGAGGCCGCTGGGTTCCCGGTCATCTTAGGGCTGATGATGATGCTGCTGTTGGTGACACGGGGCCCATACCAGCCTGCCCAGAACTGGGTGTCTTTGCCCCCATGCTGGAAGAGGATGTGGCGGACGCCTGGAGGGTAATCTGAGAAGGTGTGAGAGACCTCTGTCCACTGGGCATTGTTCCACTGCTGGATGGTCACAGGTGGGGGCTCGAACAAGGCCAAGACAATGTAGTTGGCTGAGACCAGCTGTACTCGGATGTTGTAGGTGCAGCCACAGTCTGCTCTGGTGGCGAACCAGTCCTTCACCACGATGTCAGGCCGGATTATGTCCATTAGTTCCTCCCAGTAGCCCTCAGCTTTGAGGTCCACCATCTGGGACTTGAGGCATAATCCAAAGGATGTGACGAAGTACTTCCTGACCTTAGAGGTAGGAAAATCTTGCCCATGGCCTCCAGGTAAGCTCTCCGCCTTCCAGTGGTCCCCCCGATTGTAGTCGATTTGCCAGGATCTCATACCCTCTTCAGCACATGGGTTGCGTAGGAGGTTCCTGCGGAGGCTGCACAAAAAGTAAAAAATCTTCCAGTCAGACACAGGCTCATTATAGTCCTCGGTGATGAAGCCCTCACGCAGGCTCTTGTGTTTGCAGAGGGCCACAAGGTCAATGAGGTCGCGCCAGAGGCTGCAGACAGGGCAGCAGTCCAATACCAGCTGATGGGCAGGCACGTATGTGAATACCTCCAGCAGGATGTTCTCAGGCAGTTCATTGATGCTGACCAGGGCCATAGCTGGGCTGGGGTGCACACACAGGCCTACGTGTGTGTGTGTGTGTGTGTGTGTGTGTGTGTGTGTGTGTGTGTGTGTGTGTTTAGGGGGCAAGTATGATGGTTATGAGCCCTGACCAAGGAGGTGGATTCCTCAGATCTTTCAGGGTCCTGGGCCTGGGCCTCCTAATCCTGCTTCCTATCACGCCTGTCACCCCCCTGCCTGTCCTGAGCACCGGGCAGGACGTCAGCTTCTTGTTTGTTTGTTTTTAATACTGTATGTTTTTATAGATTTTTAGAGAGGAAGACGGGGAGAGAGAAAAACATTTATCGCCTGCCTCTACATGAAAAACCTAAGGGTGGGGAATGCAAATGAGTCAGGAATGTGCCCCAGTGTGTGCCCTACAGGTGTGAGCCCCAGTGACCAACACACTTACTTTGGGTAGGAAGCTTCTGAGTGGCCAGGGCAGAAAGAGAACCCTTGTTGGATCTACCATTCACAATGTCCCTCAGATCTAAGAGTAAAATGCAGGTATAGGAAGAACAATCCTCAGTACTAAAATCAGGTAAGAATTTCTCACAAGTATCCTCTTATCAAAATGATAGGTTAAGCGTTCTGATAATAAACACAATGACAGATATTCTGGGTGTGCTCAAACACTAAACTCCCCAAGGGCAGTTGTCCATACCTGGAAACTAGTTAGATGTATTCAGACGAAGTGAGCATGGAACGTGTGCCTTATGTTGAATGTGTTCAGATGAGCATTATTAACATTATTCAGTAGGTCCACTGGTGCCACCTGGAAATGCGCCCCCATTTGCCTGGCAGAGTTGCAGTTCATTTCTGTGAACACTCCGTTTCATTTTCAAGTGTCCCCTGACCAAGGAGGTGGATTCCTCAGATCTTTCAGGGTCTGAAAGCATACAGTCATAAAGCATACAGTCATTCTATCTGTAGAATACTTCCTGACCAACCTCAGGAGGCCCTCCCCAGCTCATCCAACTCCATAGACATGCATGTTCCTCAGGCCAATATGATAGGCTCCCCTGATGGCTGAGTCTCCTTCCTTAGGGATCTCTGTACCCGAATCCTTGGAGCTAAGTAAACACGTATGCTAAAACATGTGTGAACTTGATTCTTGTGTGCAAGCCAACAAACCAGGCAGGTTTACAGATGTTACAAGTTTCAGAGGGCTGCACCTTAGACTCAGTGGAAAATCCCAGTATAGTACAATTCTGTAAGAGCAATTCTACAAAGGACAACTTCTTTTCAGGCTGGAAGGTAGCTCTCTCTGATGTGGCTTGATGAAGCAGACTCAAGGGAAATTAGAATTTTTCTTAGGAAGCCAAGAGTTCTAGCACATGACTACATAGGTGGTGGTATGGACATCTGTTATTTTTACTTCATTCATTTGCCCTCTCATCCTCTTACTTTCAAATTTCTCTCTGAGGAAGCATTCTGTTCCCAACTATTAGTCCATATAGTTCTGGTGAAGCTGACCACACCTGACTTGGGGTGGAGTGGGTGACCTAGGTGTAAGCCAGCACATCATAGTCGTTGGCCCTTGTGACTGATTCAAGGATGGATACATGGCCAGGTACTTTTGGAAAGAAACTTGATGCCGAGAGGATGTGGTGGCTAAATTGACATGGCCATCTAGTTATTGCATGACACCTGGGTCAGTAGAAGAGAGAATGGTATGATCACAAATGCAGCTGTGTCTCAAGTCACAACTACTCTTGGGCTTTTATGAGCCATTTTTGCTTAAATGAGAATAACACTTGTTACATAAAAGCCTTAAATGGTACAAAGATGAAAAGTGCTAAATCTGCCTCCTAAACATGGCCAAGATGGTTAGACAGAATATGGTTCAAGGCAGAAAGTACCAGTTACCATAGGCACAGAAAAGCTTATATCATGTACCATGAAACATGATTTTGAGGAGCATCTTTCTAGAAAACCTGTTATCATTCAGAAGTTGCAAAATGTAACCCTTATGTAACAAAATGATCAAACTTTCATGGAAATGTTGGCAACAAACTAAATAAATTCTGATTGCCATCTCAAGACATAAAGGTTTTTCATTTTAAAGTCGTTATTTTAGGCCATTCTTTCTGAAAATAGTTGATTAGGAAGGATAAGATAGTCTACTGAGACCATTCCTAGTTTTTGACAGTAAAATCAAACCATTGACATCATGTTATTACTTAGGTGCTTTCTCCAATAGACATCTGTAAACAAAACAACCCATTAAGGACAGCTGGGTTTTGAGAACTTTCTGAGACAGATAAATTAATTCACACCTAGGAGAGCTAAACTCTAATGGCTTTAAGTGGTCCATGTGGTTGAAAAAACACTGGCCTGGAAATCAGAAAGCCTGAGTTCTAGTTTCAGTTCTGGTGCAAAATTAACTCATTGATTCTGACCAAGTCCTATTAACCTCCATGAGCCTCAGTTTTGTTTTGTTTTGTTTTGTTTTGTTTTCTATAAAACAGAGTATTTAGATTAAAAAACAATTATAAGATTTTATTTGAGCCAAACTGATGACATTCTGGGGAATAAGATTGCAAATGCTGTCCTAGACTAGATGTTGACTAAAGTCTCTTTTAGTTTTACGGTCTCTTTATAAATAGGAAGACTTCTTTATAGAAACCACGTAAGTAATTTGTAAAATACAGAAATAATAAAAGTGGCATTTATTGCATTTCCCTTGTATTCATGTATAAACTCTGTTTTCTGTACTTAGGCCTTTAGTGAAATAAGACAAAAATAAAATAAGGAAGGATCACTGTTATGAAGAACAAAAAATAGCCGAAACCGGTTTGGCTCAGTGGATAGAGCATCGGCCTGCGGACTCAAGGGTCCCGGGTTCGATTCCGGTCAAGGGCATGTACCTGGGTTGCGGGCACATCCCCAGTGGGAGATGTGCAGGAGGCAGCTGATCGATGTTTCTTTCTCATCGATGTTTCTAACTCTCTCTCTCTCTCCCTTCCTCTCTGTAAAAATCAATAAAACATAAAAAAAAAAAAAATTAAAAAAAAAAAAAGAACAAAAAATAAGTATAATGAATGGTGCTCACATATATATTACTCAATAGGCATTTTGTTCCTGGGCTAGGAATATGAATGTGACATGGTCCTTGTCCTCAAGAAGCTTTCAGTGTAATACTTGGATATTAACTATAGTTCAACTAAGTAAGTTCACCACAAAAGTGAGCATATAGGTCTGAGCCTACAGAGGGGGATGCTGAAGCCAGATAGTGAGTTTAGAGAAGTCTTCTTAGAGCTGACCATTATGAGGATATTTTAAAGGATGTATGGAGAATTCTAGGCAGAGGGATTATCAGGTATTGAATCCTATTTTTATTATTATGGAAATAAGATATTTGGAAAATGAATGTATGCATGTAAATTTAGATTTTTTTTTCCCCCTTTTGGTGAATTTGCTCTATTTGAGTTAAGGAGAGCTAACATTGATTGAACTTGGGACACATGCTAGGTCTTACACTGTTACGTCCTTTACATGTTATCTCATTTAATACAACCTTTTTAAATATTAGATGACAGGTGGGAACTAGGAAATGGCAAAGTTAGGATTCCAAATCATGTCTACATGTTTCCAACCCCTGACCTTTCCATGACTATGTAATTTCTCTGAAAGAGTGCAGAAATTCCTTCACAGCTCTAATCTGAAGCCTCACACTTCCTTTCAACTAATTGACTACCCATAAAATAGTTCCTCTACTGCAACTTAAGAGTATTAGCTCTCATTGCCTTTCCTTTAGATTAGTAAACTCTTTCTCAAGCTTGTTGATTAAAAAGAATTATCTCTGGGGCTTCTTAAAATGCAGGTTTCCAGGCCTCTGCCCCTGAAGATTCTGACTCAAGAATGGATTGGGGACTAATATCTGTATTTTTAACAAGCATTTGAAGCATATGAGCAGTCAAATTGTAGGCGACACTGGATTAGTGTCCTGGCCCAACTGACCTACTCATTTCTAATCCTCTTACTCCAAACCGTTTTTATCCCTTTTTTTCAGCATTACTCTCAAGGCTCCTGAAGTCTTCCATACTGTTTCCCATAGTTTTGTTTACCGATAGTAATAAACACTACTGCTTACCAAGCATTTACTTCCTATTCACTTTTGCCTCCACCAGAACAAAAGCTCCACGAAGGTAGGGACTGAAAACTGCAGTATCCGGGCGCCCAATAAAAATTAACTGAACCAGCAAACACACAAGGTAGTTAGTTATTATGCTTCGACCTGAAAATATGGAGGAGAGTAAAAGAGCAATAGTAAAGCTGAGATATGAGATCGCCTGCGACATAATCAGTATTTAGCCGTTAATTGCACTGTCTCCGTGCCCACTACGTGCCAGGGGTCTTTCCCCACAGCTCGCCCTTGGAGGCGAGCGGCCGCCATCCAGGCCACGCCACGCTCCTAAAGAGGCCACTTGGAACAGTGACCGCAAAGCTGAAGACAGCAGAGAAGCGCGCCCTGCTCTCCGCGGCGGCGGAGCGGATCACGGATCACGGATCACGTGGGCCTGGGGGCGGGGCCGAGCCTCCGGTCACGTGGTGCAGAGGGGCGGTTGTCACGGGGGGCGTGGCCGTAACACCGCGGGAACCACGGAGCCTGGACTCACCGCGGGCCACGCCCCCCGGCTCGGGTCGGCGGGCGACGGAGGGGTGGAGCCTTCTTGTCACCTTTCACCCCAGCATGGCTGCGCCCGTGGGACCGGTGAAGTTCTGGCGACCGGGTAAGGCTCTTAGCGGAATGCTGGGCAGAGGCGGCGGCCTGACTTTGGTCTTGGCCCCGCGGCCGGTGTCCTGGGGCCGGCGGCCCTGCTCGCAGGCCTGACCTCGCGGGCCGGCCGGTGCTGGTCGGCTCTGTGGCTCTGGCGCCCACAGGGGTCCGGGGACTCGGGGGTCCGCTCCCAGCCCGGGCGGAAATTCTCTGTGACCTTGTTCGAGTCTCTCAGCCCCTCCGGGCCTCGTTGACCTCACTCCTGATGCCTGTCTTGCCCAACCCGCGAGATGGGGAAACGCTAAAGCGCCCACGCGTGTCCTGTTACTGCCCTGGGGCGACTCTGTGACCGGACAGGCGGTGCCGCTCAGGGTTTAGGAGCTCACGCTATGGAGTCAGACTCCCTGTGTTCGGGTTGTCCGCTCTGCCCGCAGCCGAGCGCCTTTGATCTGAGCCTCAGCTCCTGCCTGTGAAACAGGCAGAATAATAACATCTTGCGGGCTCGAATAAGGAGCACCACGCGTGTCTGGCACAGAGTCAGTGCTCACGACAAGGGAAAGTGCCTTCTTTTGTCTTAGGGTCCTTCTTGTCCACTCCGAGCGTCTGCCAGAGAGTGAACTCTTTCATGGTGGCTGCCACGCGCTTCGCCTCTTGCAGGCTAACACGAATCTCAGCCCCAAGATGCTTTGCTTGTTTTGTTTTAATTTTCCCCATCAGCATTTTACTGAATGTATACACGCGAGACCCTGCTAGATGCATTGCTTCCTCCCCTTCCGTCAGTTTCTAGTGAAAAACAAAAGTTCCATTTTTCCACCGCTTGCACCTCTGCAGGTCTGGATGTGCAAAGTATATTGCAGCAGAAATGAAATGAGTCGGAGAAGGTAACACAAGGAAAGCTTTTTTTTGTTTGTTTTTTTAAATATTTTTATTGATTTTTTTACAGAGAGGAAGGGAGAGAGATAGAGAGTTAGAAACATCGATGAGAGAGAAACATCGATCAGCTGCCTCCTGCACATCTCCCACTGGGGATGTGCCCGCAACCCAGGCACACGCCCTTGACCGGAATCGAACCCGGGACCTTTCGGTCCACAGGCCGAGGCTCTATCCACTGAGCCAAACCGGTTTCGGCAGGAAAGCTTTTGAAGGGTGTTTTAGAGTGGATCCCTGAAATTATGACCAGGCATATAAGTGATGTGGGAGATAAACCCATGCAAGGGATGTGCTCATTCTTTTTAAAAATCTGTAGTTTGTCACTTAACAGTTTTATGATTCAGCATTTCAGGTCATCAGCCAGTTATCCATCCTGAGTCTT